AGGCACCTATTTGGGTTCGCTCTACCTCTCAGACTCGGATAATCAGAAATATAATAGTTATAAGACTCCAACAACCATAAAGACCAAATATAATATGCTCAAGTACTGGTTTAGTTTGACAGGAAGCCTCAATGCCTACACCTAAGGCCCCACAAAGGCACCTGTTATATCTAACACGGTTTCTCGGGCATATGCATATTCACAACTAAAACTTGACATCCATTCGACATCTGCCATGCTGAAGATGGCAGTGGCACGCCTGAGCACTAAAATGTTAACCTTGATTGCGAGCCTCAAGGCCTACACCTAAGGCCCCACAAAGGCACCTCTCAAAGTTAACGTTGTCCTTCTCTTTCAGCCTTGCCCGAAGAGTCTTGCCCGACGAGACTTGCCCGACAAAGCCTGACAGGAAAGCAGAAGTCCGACAGCAGCCCTCAACCGGCGCCGAACCTCCAGGGGAGCTGTGTGCTCGTCGGCTAGGAAACATCCCCGACGGGAATTCCTGCCACGAACAGGTAGTGGAAGGGTAGATGCCAACAAGAAAGTGGGGAAGAGGAAGAAAGAAGAAAAAGAAAGAAAAACCAGAAAAAAAAAAAAACCAGTAAGGGGAGGGGGAGGTGGTTATGGGAAGGTTAAGGGACTAGGAGGAGGAATGGAAAGAAAAAGAGGGAAAGCCGCCGGCCCAAGCCTGAGCAAGGGCCAACGATGCTTACAAATGCTGCTAGGTTTTTTTTTCTTCTACTAAAACTCATATCTTTTTGTGTTCTTGAATAAAGCCCATTGACTAGCCTCCAACTAAACAAATTCTTTAATTAAGTTTGACTTTTCAGATTGTGTATTTTTCGAATGCCTGAACTACCCCTATTAATACTTGGATGGGGTTTTTGGATCAGTTACTTGTTATATCCATTTAATTAATTTTATATATTTTACAAAATAATTCATGCCATTAATTTTATATTCAATGTATTAACTTTCAAATTGTTATAACATGCCAATTGAAAACTAATAATTGTAACATCCCACGTCGCCTAGGGGAGTGGATCTTATAAGTCTTATATGTATATTCCCATCTCTACCTAGCACGAGGCCTTTTAGGAGCTCACTGGCTTCGGGTTCCATCAGAACTTTGAAGTTAAGCAAGTTCGCGCGAGAGTATTCCCATGATGGGTGAGCCACTGGGAAGTTCTTGGGTGAGTTCATAAAAACAAAACCGTGAAGGGGTGGTCGGGACCCAAAGCAGACAATATCGTGCTATGGTAGAGTCGAGCCAGGGATTTGGTACGGGCCTGGGCCGGGATGTGACAATAATACTAATTTCATAATTTTGTGCATTAAATATATAAGTTAATTTACCTACCCGCACAACAATAAACCTAAAACAGTTTCGGCTAATACTCCAATCCCTAATATACAAAACAAAAGCTATATGTTCCGCGCAATTTTTACCTACAAAATAGTCTAATTTACCTACATGATTTATGTGCATTAGATTAAAAGTTTATTTTATTGCCTACAAGCACAAACCCACAACATTTGAACAGGTAAATTAATTTAAATGTAGGTAAATTAGTATAATATTTTGTAAGTAGGTAAATTAATTTAAATGTAGGTAAATTAGTATAATATTTGTATGTAGGTAATTACATGATTCAAACATTATATTTTCCGTACAAGATATGTCTTTTTTTTTTAAATTTTGGTAAATTAATTTATATATGTTGCTAATATTTATGATACAAGAAAGGTAAAATATCCATATGGATTTAATTGCTCATCATAATTAGGATGAGTAATAACATTTATTGACCAAGTTAGGATTTTGTGGTATAAGTTGTAAATGTATTGTAATAGTTGGTCATATATTTGTCTACATGGTAGGCTATTTGAAAATTGGGTTTTTTTTTGAATGTTTTAATTTAGGTGGGTTTTTATTTGGAAAATAGGAGTTTCAACGGCCTATATCTAAAAAACATTTTTTTTTCTTTCCAGAGAGCGTTTCTAGAGAGAGAATCAAATAATTGCCTTGATGTGTTGGACTGACCTGGAGTATTCTATATTTCGACATTTTAGTTGTTCGATCTTTAGTTAAAGAAACAATAATCATAATCTAACAATTAAAAATTCTAAAGTATCTAATATTCCAGAGCACCATAGTATTTTCGCATTCTAAATTTCTAATAATGTTTTGGTTCTTGTGAAGTATAGCAATGTGTGTGAAGAAAGTGTAATTGATTAATCTGGCGGTTAATTTTACTTTTCACCCTCTAAGTATAAACGTTAGTTTTTCACATTGCTTTAATCATGGACTTTGAAGTCTACAATCTACGTAGTATATTCGTCTTGTAACTTCACTCTCAATGTATTTGAACTGTATTAAGTTGTCCATTGAGCCGTTTTGCTGACTTGACGAGAGTGAGACCTACATTTTCTTACGCACCAAAGTTATATATCATCCACAACATTTTAATAAAGCTTAATTCTGTTAAGTTAATGTAACAATCACAAAAACATTTCTTGGTTAAACTTATCCACGTCAATTATTTGACTAAATCACTCTTTGCAAAATCTTGGTAGATGCATGTATTTTGCCACGCCAGAAAATGTAGGTGGTACTCTAGCCAAATACGTAAATTGACGATTTACACATGATCGAACTTAGGGAGGGTACAAATCAATACGTACAATGTGAAGGGATGAAGTTCAATGTACAATGTGAAAATGGATATATACCATGCAAAGAGAAATAGCCTTACTTTTTTATGTATGTTTGCAAACAAGATGTGAATGTGTGGAAAACTTGAAGTAATACTGGTGGCCATTGTAGAAGAGTTCAAACCTTGGCCTGTCTTCACTAAAAAAGGACCTACATAAAACGGAAACGTTAAGGGGACAATGTCTTCAATCATCATACGACGTCATATAAAAAATTTAAAATATATAACATCTTGTTATAGATTTGAGACACTGCCACCATAATATACATCTTCATTTCATGCAAGACTCTTTATTTTCACTCTTAGAGAAGACATTTAGAGCCCCCTTTTCGAATTTTAGGGAGTAGAGTTTGAATTAAACCATCAATATGTTATATGTAACAAACGAACATGGTTTTTGCTTATAGATTGGCTTGGATATTCCGCAAATGGAGCGGCTCATAGATCGTCCAAAGTGGCATTGTACTATGTTCTCAGGTCTCCTTTGTTTGAGGAGCCTCTAGACTTGATCAATTCGACACATCCTCTTTGAAGATTGTAATGTAATTCTTCTTAATTTCTCAATAAAAATGGCTAATATCGTTTCTCTAATAAAATAAAAACAAAACCAACTTGATTTTTACTTGCATGCAATCAAACTCCTTCCTTTTTCCTTTTTGTTCCTAATTTTTTTCAAAACTCTGGGTTTTACATAGCCTAGAGATCAACTACGTATCTCAGCTAGCTACAGCTACTAGCCCGAAAACGGCAATAAATCCAGTAATCTAGCTACCAAGTACGGTATTATCGTAAGATCAAACCTTTGTTTTTGTAATAAATAAATAAATAATTAGTTCCCAAGCACAGTAATTCAGGACTGAGGCCTCATCAGAAAGCATGCATGCAAAAGGTGAAATAAAATCTCCGGCACAGGCTGCCATCTGTATTCTGCATATTTTACATTTAAACAGACAGAAATTTTACCTGACTATATTTTAAGCTTTTATATTAGTTCTCCACAAAATGTTGAATACACCCCACATTAAAATTTAATATTAAATAACTTATTTATCCTACTATGCAATGACAGCTTTGACTTTGTTAGGTTAAAAAAAACAATCTATATACACCCCAAATCACTTTTAATGTATTATTTATTTTCTTCAACTATCAAAACACATCCGACCCTTCATTGTTGAATAAAACCCTAACCAATGAAACTACAAACATGTTGATTGAGAAAAATTATTTTTGACAAATGAAACACAAAATCGATGTTTCGGAAGTTTCACATGCGGTAAACTTCATATTATTTATTGTTTTAGTGATTTTGACAGCATCAATAATTATTTAATCTTGCTTTTGATGCGTTATTCAAGCTTCTATGTTTGTATTCATTTTTTAGGGATCACAGGAATTACATGAAAAATTAAACACCTAAAATTATCACCAAATATTAAAAACAGACGACATGAATTTTAATGGTGGAATTAAAAACAACCGACATATGCTTTAAATCCCAGGTGGCATCTTTTGTCAAACTTTTAGTCGGCATTATTTGTCCAAATTAAAAGCTTTGTAAGATTTGAGAAATGTGGGGTGTATAGAAAATATGGGTTGCATATAGAAAATGTAAGGTGTATATTAAAAATGTGGGGTGTGAGGGTATTATGGGGAAGTATGTGGGGTGTATTAAGATAATTTTTAATTAAAAAAGCAAATATGGAGTGTATTAAGTATGTGGAGTTTATTTAATAATTTGTGGGGTGTTAATATAATAAGCCATATTTTATACTATATATGCAAAAGAAGAATAAACCAAAGGATATTATCTGAATCCCCAGCAACCCAAATCTTCATGGCTAAAGCAAGTGACCCTTTACTACAGTAAGGAAATATGTTGTGTTCTTGTATAACTATATGAGTTTGAACTTTGTCCATAGTTAATCTAACATCTAACATTTATTGCTCGACTCAAAAAAAAAAAAAAAAAAAAAAAAAAAAAAAAAAAAAAAAGCTAGGGAACATATTAGTTACTTAAAAATTAGCTGTAGTTTTAGCCGAACAAAATCACAGAAATTAATACAGAGCCCCTCTCTCTCTCTCTCTCTCTCTCTCTCTCTCCCCCCTCTTCTGGTGCGGACTGAAAATGTCGTGCTTAACAGAACCCTCTGTAAAAGCCTGCTCACTCTATTCATCTCTTCAAATATGCCTCAGAAAACTTGTTCCTTTCTCTCTCCTCCATAAAAACCCCTTTACCCCCTCACAGCAAAAACTCGCTCTCTAACTTTCTTCACCATCCAAATATCGAACACTTTCTTCACACACCAAAACCAAACCAAAACCAAATATTCAAAAACCCAGCTCAGCCAGTTTGATTTGAACACCCAAATGCCGTCGGACTCAGGCGATCAGCAGCAGAAGAGCAGCCAGAACCGGAGGACGGTGAAAGACGCCCAGGCCACGGGGGCACCACCGCCGGAGCAAGAGCACCTGCCCTGCCCACGCTGCGACTCCACCAACACCAAGTTCTGCTACTACAACAACTACAACTTCTCCCAGCCCCGCCATTTCTGCAAGTCCTGCCGCCGCTACTGGACCCACGGCGGCACGCTCCGCGACATCCCAGTAGGCGGCGGAACCCGCAAAAACACCAAGCGCTCCCGCACGGCCACCTCCGCCACCACAACCACCGCCACTTCTGACAACAACGCAATTTCCGCCACCCCTGTTTTTCTGAACCCAGGTGGTGGAGCGGCCTTACAGTTCGGTGATTGGAAGGGTAACATGGGAAATGGATGCGGTGGCGATGGGAGCTTCAATTCTCTCCTCAACACCCACGGGCCTGGTGGGTTTTTGGCTCTGGGCGGGTTCGGGCTTGGGCTTTCAGGTGGGTTCGAGGAGATGGGCTTTGGGCTTGGGAGAGCTTTTTGGCCTTTTCCTGCGATGGGAGGAGATTGTGGTTCCGGTGGACCCCACGGCGGGATGATGAACACGTGGGAGATCGAGAACGGAGAGGGTGGTGGGATTGTGAATGTGGGTGTCAGCCCTGTCGGAGCTGAGTTATGTTCTTGGCCGGAGTTGGCAATTTCTTCTCCTGGAAATGGACTCAAGTGAAAAAAAAATCTGTGTCTTTTGGGTCTCTTTGTAATTCTCTACTCTTTTTGGTTTGTAATGGGGAATGTCGTGTTTTAATGCTCTAGGGTTTTTAATGTTAGTGTCGAGGCCTTGAATCTATATGTCCGAGAACTACTGCCTAAATTGTAGTAAATTGTATTTTGGTCCCATGCTTCTAGCTTGTTATATGATTTTTGAGTATTTGAAGAATATGAGTTCTTCATGACTCCATTTGTAAACACATCCAACACTCATATCACCATCATGATGTCGTCAATGCATTTTAAAAAACTACTTGTAAGCGCTAGAATTAATCGGTTTTAAATAAATATATGCAAGAACGAAATGTTGAACAAAAAGGATTGCAAAGGAAATGATGAAAATTAATCTAACCCAAATTAATTTAGTGTTATCCTAGTTGAGAAAAGATTGATTTTATTACCTTTTTTTTTTTTTAAAGAGGATAACTGGTGGTAAGCCATGATTATTCATCCATTTCGGATCCAGAGAGGCTATCGGGAATTTGATCTTGCCCGTGGTTACAGTCAAATAGACATTGAACTCGGGATCTAACAAAACATTAAAACAAGAGAAATGCTTTTGTTTAAATCAATAAGAGAAAACTATAACCATTTGATAACCTATTTCTTTTTTAATTTTTCATTTTTACTTTCATTTTTCTAAAACGTAAAGTAATTACCAAACGATTTTAAAAAATATGAAAACTGAAAAGCTCCACGCTACATGGTTGTCTACTCCAAAAGGAAAAGGCACAATAACGTTCCTTATTGTCAGACTCAGATGGAATTGCAAGCTGCATTTTCCTTCTCTATTTCTTTGAATTGAATTAAATTGATTGACCCTACAAAGGAGCAGCATGCGTGGTAAGTTTCAATTGATTCATTTCCACATCAAACATCTTTCTTTAGCTGAACCTTACCTAAGAAAATAATGAAAGAATATTGGTGCTAAAAATCAGAGAGAAAGTCCATGCAATTTGAAGATGTTATGAGCTAGCTCTACTAATTCCAGAAAAAAAAAACAACACACAGTTCTACTCGACGCAGATGTCCCAACCCTAGTCAATGATCCAGCTTTCGCTAACATTTGGCTCTAAACCAACGTCATTCCCTTTGCTTCATCTCGAACTTTCGCTGTATATCCGTTGGAAATGAAATGATTCCAAGTAAAATGCTAGCAGCATAGTCCCGGCCATGCAAAACTTCAGAAATGCCCTAATTACAGCCAACCTCAGTATTCCTCTATCCCCTGCAGTGTTCCAAAATGTACTGACATCACCGTATCCACCATCAGCCGGAACATGGCATCCTGATGCAGCCTCAATAATGGTACCTCTAGTATAATATTTGCAAACCAATGGTTACCCCCTTCTCTTCAACGCGTATCCATATTTCGCCTACCGCGATCATCCGCAAGAGATTAGGTTAGACTACGCATTGATGAATGCACAAAGGTTATTGTACAAGATGGAGTATTAGGGTGCACAAAATTGCTTGATGCTTCACTAGATGCCCTTTACTGGGCACTTGAGAAAGTGGGGCACAAAAGTTGAGGTTGTTGTGATGTGATCAGTGAAACACGTTGGCCTTCACAAGGAGAAGGAGAATAGCCTGCAAATATTGAGAATGCTAAGACATATAATACCAATCTGATCAAGCATGGGCAAGTTGGGACACCAAAAAGACCAGGAAAGGGATAAGAGGCTCACATTTTGGCTTTGTTCAATGAGGATCTTAAGCCTAAGGGAAGTGGGCAGCAATGGGGATTGTTTTATCCTGACATGACAGGTTTACCATGCTGACTTTAGGGAAAGTAATATTTGTTGGTAATGTATCATTAGGAATAAAGAAATGTTACTGTGCTAATAGAATTATTGGTAAATTTTTTTGTTATTAATAAGTTAATTATGAATTATGTATTATTTGTTAACTAGAAAATGGCCGAAGTACAAAGTCTTGCGAATAAGGCCGTTACTCTATTGTGTAATGAGTTTGCCTATTGTCATACTATACACATTTTTTGTTAAATGAAATCGCTTTTCCATTACATAATTTTTATAAGGTACAAAGTTTTGATGTCAAATTGGAGTAATTCTCGCGTCCACTCACTAGATCACTTCATACATCCACACACAATATAGGCGTATTCTTGTGTAATGGACTATCAATTTGATTAACTTACCAATCACGAGTAATATGGTAATCAAAACTACATATTAATAAGGCCTAATCGGATAAATGGTCCCCGTGGTCATAAGGTATTCGGATGATAGCCCCTGTGGTAAAAAAATTCGGATTTAAACCCCTGTGGTCTAAGTCTGTTAAGATTTATGCCCTTCTGTTAAATAATGCTGACGTGGCTGCCACATATATGCCACGTGGCTGCCAAATGTCTGCCACGTGGCAAAAATAATAATTTTTAATGTTTTTTTTTAAAAACCTGAATTTTTACAACAAAAAAAAAACCCCCACCCTCCGCCCGTTCCCCCCCCCCCGCCGGACTTCTTCTCCTTCTTCTTCTTCTTCTTCTTCCCGCCGGAGACCAGCTCCCCCCGTCGAAGCCCTCTCCCCGCGCGACCCTCCTCCCTCTCCTTCTTCCTTCTTCTTCTTCTTCCCACCGGAGACCAGCTCCCCCCCTCGCCGGTCTCCCCCGCGCGACCCTCCTCCCTCTCCCTCTTCCTTCTTCTTCTTCTTCTTCCCGCCGGAGACCAGCTCCCCCCCTCGCCGGAGCCCTCTCCCTGGTAAGCTGCTGAAGCTGCACCAAAGACGAACCCTGGTTTTAGAGCATCAAACTTGGTCCTGTCAAGTGAGTTACAGACAACGGGTCGATCTGGGTTAGCAGCTTTGGTGTTTGTCAATGCAAAGCCATTGAGTAGCAAGACACACAAGAGCAAAGAGCCTAACTCATGCATTGCCATAGTTAACTGGAGGGGTTTTGGTGATCGAGATAGCTAGGTTGGTTCTTCCCTGCATATTGCATGGGGTTTATATAGTGGGCTACGTACCACGTCTAAACGTGAGAATAATTGATTAGGCCTAATATGATATCTGGGTTTTTTTTTTTTTTTGGTTGTAAAAATTCAGGTTTTTTTAAAAAAAAATTAAAAATTATTATTTTTGCCACGTGGCAGACATTTGGCAGCCACGTGGCATATATGTGGCAGTCACGTCAGCATTATTTAACAGAAGGGCATAAATCCTAACAGATTTAGACCACATGGGTTTAAATCCGAACTTTTTTATCACAGGGGCTATCATCCGAATACCTTATGACCACGGGGACCATTTATCCGATTAGGCCTATTAATAAAACATTGTTTGTCAACAAAAAAAAAATTAAAATTACTACTATCCTTTTAATACAAAACTAAAAGAAGATATTAGAAAAGAAAATAATGTGGGCATTTAAGTAATTTTGTACAAACAAGTTTATATTGTTTTTATTTTTCTAAACCTCACAACTATATCACTTTATCACTACCCTCTCAACTCATTCACTCTCTTTCCTAATTGCCAATCCCTATTTTTTTTGGGATGTCTATCAACTTGTTAAAAACAAATAATTCATCTCATAAAAAAAAATTAAAATACAAATATTTAAAAAAATATAAAAAAATGTTGTGGTCTATTTCATCTGACAAGGAGAGAAGGCCGGCGGCAAGGAGAAGAAAGAGAGAGAGATATGTGTTTGTAGAATTGTAGGGGAATGTGCGTGTTGTTATCCCTCCTACATTGTGCCTTTATTTATAATAATACAGGGAGAGAATATATTCCTTCATCCCCAAGGAATACAAGATAATAGGAAATGATAACTAGAATCAAATCTAATCTAGGATTTACACAATCACACTTAAACTAGGAATGTTTACAACACTTCCCCTTGAGTGTGTAAATACTCAAAGTAGATTTAGCATCATGCAGAAGTTGAGGAAGTTGACTCATTGGCACTGATTCTAAGGAACATCACTTATTCTTAATAAGGTAGGAATTTGCATAAGTAGTAAGTCTCACTAAAAAACCCTACGGCAAAAACCTGAGTAGGGACAAAATCCATAGTCTAAGGAAAAATGCGTGAGAAATGAAAAGTATAAAGAAACGTCTAGATGATGTCATCTAGGATATGACCAGCCCAATATGGGTACCTCGTTAAAACGTAGTGGGAAAAATGCTCATAATCGTAGAAAAAAAGTACATTAAGATCAAGCAAGTATCTACAGGATACTCCTCCTGAGTTTGACATAATTCCAAAGAGAAATAGCAAAGTTACAACTCAGAAAGTTTACGTATACCAATTTCATGAACAAGCTTTTGAAACGTTGTCTTCGGCAGTGATTTGGTGAAGAGGTCAGCCAGATTGTCTTGTGAACGGATTTGCGTGACTTCAATCTTCTGATGCTCTTGTTGTTGATGTGAATAGAAAAACTTTGGCGCAATGTGCTTGGTGTTGTCTCCTTTGATGTAACCCTTATTGAGCTGTTCGATGCAGGCTGCGTTGTCTTTAAAGATCGTCGTCAAGACATTAACGGTGGGATAAAGATCGCATTAGCTTCGAATATGGCCCACTACTGCTCTCAACCAAAAGCATTCCCTAGTTGCTTCATGTAAGGCGATAATTTCAGCATGGTTAGATGAAGTGGCAACTAAGGTCTATTTAGTTGACCTCGAAGAGATTGCGGTGCCTCCAATTGTAAAGACATAACCCGTTTGAGAAAGCGCCTTGTGAGGATTAGATAAGTATCATGCCTCGGCATAACCAACAAGGAGCATAGGGTGTGACACCATTCGAGGATTCGTAGGGATAGAACAAACTTAAATCCGTAGTACCCTTAAGGTCACGCCAGTTTAGTGTTTGCGTGTTGGTGCATTACTGTATCTTACCAAAAGATTAACAGCGAATGAGATGTCGGGTCTAATGCATTGAGCTAAGTACAATAAAGCGCCTATTGCACTTAGATAAGGAACTTCAGGCTCCAAAATCTCGTCATCATCCTCTTTCAGATGGAAGAGATCTCGTTTTACATCTAGCGAACGAACGACCATAGGAGTATTCGAAGGCTTCGCTTTATCTTCATTAAAGTGGCGCAACACCTTCTGGGTATAGTTCGATTGATGTACTAGGATTCCATCCGAACAATGCTTTATCTCGAGAT